AAAGAGTCTCATTCTGGGGACTGTTTCATCAAAAAGCAAAAGCAAACTAGAATAGTCAAGAGCACCAGGACAGCAGTGAAACACTTATCACGCAAGGGTTTGTTACGTGATCTGAACATTAAACAGAACCAGATTTTTTGAGATTATCTGATATAAAGGACAAGATGAAAGGGAAGATGGATCCGCTCAGGGGCTGACAAGAGACCTGATGGCAAAGTCACCACAACGCTGTGGCCTAGTGTTTCTGCCTGCCGTCAACATCTTTATTAAGTGTCTCGTTCTCGCATCTGAGAAGAATTCCACAGCTCACCGAGAATTCTGGGTTCCCTGATGCAGCCTGAGTGTAAGCTCCTGGCCCGGGAAAGATGCTCGCCTGATGGCCCCTGGATTTAAGTTCCAGAAAGCAATGTAATAATCACATTAAGAAGTCTTCCTGCCCTCTACCATGGACAGCATGAGATAAAGTCTGGCAAGCTGATGAAGAGGAGGTAGAAAAGGCAGAAGCGAGGGGAGAAGCCTGGCAGCATTTGCTGGTTTGCAGGCCTTAGTCACAGGAAATAGTTCACTCGTTTTTCTTTTCTTTTCTTTTCTTTTCTTTGGTACTGGGGATCGAACTCAGAACTTTTTGTGGCAGGTGCAGTGCCACTGAGCTACATCCCCAGCCCGATAGTTCACTCATTTTACACACACACACACACACACACACACACACACACACTGGTAACTTCTTCATCTGGATATCCAGTTCCTATTTTCTTAAAGGTCCAACAGATAAAAATGCAAAGCTGACATTTTACATGTGTTGACGCTTCCAAATAATTCATCTTAGGCGTTACTTTATCAAAAAGAGAAACAAACTGAAAATAGTAAAGAGCAGTCAGAAACATCTACAGAAATACTCATCCCATGCTGGCTGTCAAGAAGCCTGAGACAGATGGCACAGGAGACGCCAGTGCTGACGGAGGTGTAGATGTGGCTATGTAGACCCAGGTGTCAGCCCTCGAGCCAGGCCTAGCTCTAAGGGTGGTAGAGGTCACTACCACAGACAGTCCCTGCCCCCACAGGCCGCAGCTGAGCCACATGCCCAGCGCTTTGTCAACGCATCTGTCTGCTCATCGGATTTCTGCAGAGCCCTGTGTTGCCCTGTCTTCTGCACAGGAAGAGTCCGTGGTGAGAAGCCGATATGGCAGAGGTGCTGAATGGGCAGAGCCAGCATCAAAAACATTATTCATAGAAGTGGGATTTCATTGCCAAGCCTGCTGCTCTCAGCAAGTTCCAAGAAACAGTGGTCACTGCTGTAGCAACTAATTTCACATGCATCAGGAGAAATCATAATAGTATTATTACATCTCCCTGGAAACAGACACAATTAAAACTGCCTGTGAGGAGTGTTGGCCACTTCCTCTAAGGACGCTGGGGCTGCCCTCATGCTTTTGTCCATCTCCGATTCTGTTGTCGGGGCTCTGTCCCTGCTGTATGCTACTCGAAGCCTTAGAACACCATGACCTTAGGACTACAGATTACAGTAAGAAATGACAGGGTTCAGGGGTATGGACCATGTGACCCATAGACAGCTTGCTTAACCTCTCCATACCTCTGTTTCCCCATGTGAAAAACAGTGCTTTGGGGCTGGGGATTTAGCTCAGTGGTTCTGCCACCTGCCTCACAAGCACAAGGTCCTGAGTTCAATCCCCAGTACCAAACAAAAAAACAAAACAAAAAAATGTTTTTGCTAGGCATGGTGGTGAACTTATAATCCCAACCAATTTTGAGGCCAACCTAGGCTATATGATGCGTTCAAGGCCAGCTTAAATTACAGAGTGAGATCCTGTCTCAAAAAACTTAAAAATAAAATAAATAATAAAGATTATGCCCAGAGCTGATATAGAAATGACAAATCTTAAAACTCACCAGAAAATATCCAAGAAATGTAAGGCATCACACTCACACACTCACACACACACACACACACACACACACACACCCCCACCATAATTTCAGGTTGAGGTCAATAGTTTCCATCAAACCATTTGCTGTCAATAATCTTCATACAGGAGGAACTGTGAAACAGACTACCAATGAATACATCCACCTTCTTAAGATAGGTGTAAAGTGAGATCAAGAAAACCTTTTTGGAGATGTGCCAAATGCCAGGAGTTTATTCATCAACTGTGTAGATTAAAGATGACCACAAATTATTTGCTATGCCCCTCATTAAGAAATGAAGTCTAGGGATGGGGATTTAGCTCAGTAGCACCACACCTGCCTCACAAATGCAAAGGTCCTAAGGTCCTGAGTTCCATGCCTGGTACTGCAAACAAAACAAAACAAAACAAAAACAGGAAGTCTATGTCCCCTTACCCTAAATTAGCAGGACAGGTAGTGGTGAGGGTCTCTGGGAAAACTTAACCAAAGGAATATAGCAGAAAAGATCCTCAGCCAGTTTCTAGGCTAAGCCTTCAGAGAGGAGCAGTGACCACTTCCTGACCATTGGCAGACTTGTTCTGGGAGCCCTTCTAAAATGTCTGGCCTTCCTGAGGCTGCCATTTTGTGAGGAAGCCCAAGCTGGCCACCCAGACAGGACAGGGGAGAAAACAGTTGTGGGATCAACCTCATCAAATCTCACCAGCCATTCCTGTTACTCCAGCTGAGACCCAGGATAGTGGCAGAGAGGGTGGACTAGACCAGCTGTATTGCCTCAATTCCAGACCCACAGGACTAGAGAGATAATAATAAACAATGGCTTTAGGATGCCGAATTATAGAATAGTTTGTTCCACAGCAAAAGATAACTGGAAAATCATCCAAATATAAAAGAAAATGTCTAATGGTAATGTATGAACCTATGTGTCACTAACATGAAATTTCAGCCTCAGAGTTGTCACAAAAAAAGGCAAAATCGTCCTCTGGCTACCTGCCAGTAGGTATCTGTCGATGTCTGAGAAATTGTGGAAAACTGCAGTGTTCCTCCTCAGTATTGCTAGGTACAATGAAAAGGGGGGAAAAAATCAACAAAATATATGTAGGCTAATTATCTTCAGCAGAAATCCAATAGAAAGGAAAAAAATATAAAATTCTAAAAAGCCCTTAGAAAGTATGTGGTGAAGAAGGGAGTTCTTGAAGCCAGGCATGGGGGCACACATCTGCAATCCCACCACATAGGAGACTGAAGCAGAAGGATCAAGAGTTCTAGGCCAACCCAGAACTTAACAGGTTTTAATTAAACCTGTCTCAAAACTAAAAAGAGGAGCAGGGACTCATGTGTAAGGTCCTGGGTTCAATCCCCCATGCTGGAGGAAAAAAAAAAAAAAAGAAGAGAGTTCTGAATTATTCCTGAAGGTAGAAGTTAATTACTTACTGGAAGCTTATGTAATGATTATACAAATTAGAACATATTTGGTAAATGACTGTACAACCCCATGAGAGATAACTGAGACAGTAAACAGATGTGCTACACTCATTTGTACTATATATACTTCGTATTGTCTGTGTGTTGTTATGTTTTTACATTTTCGCATTCCCTCCTAGGGCCTAGCCAATTCCCACAGATAGCAGAGGGCCTACCTGGGGCAGGCCTTTGATATGCAAACTAGCCAGTCTCCCACTAGAGCTCCTCCACCAGGCCTCACAACCCAAAAGACAGGCACTGTCTCCATCACACCAGGGCAGGCACTGTGCAAAGAGGAATTGAAATTATCCAAACCAGCTCATCCTCAACCACTTATCCTACCTGCCTTGCCTTTCCCACGAAAACCCAATAAAGGCTTGGCCTGTGCTGCGCAACTTTAAACTGTGCAGGACTGTGTGTCTTCCGAAAATGAAGCCCGTCTCCATTGCTGAGCTCTGAAAGCTCTGTATTAACATTACAAGCATACAGTTTAATAAAAAACAAGACGGAATGGAATCTTTCTGCCTGGTGATAAAAACCAAAGATGTTTTATTAACAGCCCATCTTAGCAGAGAACAGATGGCAAAAAATACACAAAGGTACGACTCATTTCTATCCTGAAATGTTTTACTGTTCTCCATTCTTGGCAGAAATCACATTTCATATCTTCTAAATTTCCAAACATGGAGCTTTTATTTTTCTCTCAGAAAAAGTATCATAAAACACAGATGAGCTGAGCCCATTCGCTCCGTTACTGACTGTCCCTATGTGCATGGCTCGTCTTCTGCCTGGAGGTTGACGAAGAGGAGAACATGAAGGCTTGAAGGAATGTCAGAGAGATGAATGTGTAATTTAAAAAATTACATGTCTACGTTTTTGTGCCTTTAATTTAGGAAATCAGTGCCTTAAATCACCTACTTCCCAGCATGAGTAACGCACAAAAAGTCTGGGCCACAGCCACCCAGGTGGAGGCTGAGTGGCACCATCTTCATTCAGCCAAAAGCGTTTCCAAGACCCATCCTGCCAGTCATCCTATCAAGACATTTCTGCTGCTGGGATTTGCCCACCAGCCTCTTCAAACAGACTCCAAACTGCCATTCGACCATTTTTAACGCCAGCTTCTTCCCTAGATGATGACCCACAAAAAGTTTTCAGGATTCGATCAGGCCAGCTAGACAGAGGCCAGGAGCGCACACACATCCTACGAGCTCTTGGACCCTCTACAAAGCAGACCTATGTGCAGACCCAGGCATATCACTGGTGGCTGAGCTCCTACACCGTCGTTCCTTTCCTGGGACAGCCTTGTGAGCCCTCAGGTGGTGCCTGCACCTGGCTCTGATCAGGTCCTGAGATTGAACCCTTTTACATGCCCATTGTGATGCTTCTGTGTATATATAAATGTCTTGGGGTTTACAGAAAGAAGACATCACTGGATTCTTAGCCAGCCAGCCCCGAGACTGCCCACGGTGACCATTAAACCTGATGTGTAGGGCTTGACTGACTTAAGAAATGCCTCACAGATTAGCAAAGCACCCTTCGGTGGGTCATGGAGGTGAGACCTTGGGAACTATATATGTTTTTTGTTTATTGCGTTGTTTTTCTTTTTCCTTCAGTCCTGGGGGTCAAACTTGGGACCTTGCACTCGCAACGCAGGCAACAGAACCACTGAGCTGAATCCCCGCCTCCTTCCTCACTCCTGCCGTTCCCCTGCCCTGCTTTCTGACGCCAAGCTTTGCCTCACCTGCCAGCAGATGTTTCTCCCCGGAGCCAGCTGACCATGGACCGAATCTCCTGAAACCATGACCCAAACTAAATCCCTGAAGTCGTGGGTATCAGGTACCGTCTCTTAGCAACAGCAAGGATGACTAATAGTGCTGCCAAGGATGTTTCTCATTCATTTGTTCAAAATAATACTTATTGGGCCCAGACCATGTGCCCTGTAGATACTGCAATGACTAGAAATATAAAAATAAAGATATGGCCTTTCCCTCAAGTCCAGAAAATACAGGGTTAAATTTAATGTATGTTTGCTGGGCATGGTGGCCCACGGCAGTAATCCCAGCACTCAAGAGGCTGAGGCAGGAGGATCGCTGTGAGTTGAGACCAGCCTGGGCTACATAGTGAGTTCCAGGTCAGTCTCAACTACATACTGAGACCCTGTCTCAAAAAACTATTTATAAAAAAAAATACATATGTATATATATATGTATATATATATATATATATACACACACACACACACACACACCTGCACACTATATTTTTTTAATCTTTAAAAAAATAGCCTTAAAAACCATTTTTGGTTATAAACCACTTTTTTTCCTTCTTGCTATTATAGAAATCATTACTGACTATTTAAACATTAGCCTTCCCAGTATCAGTGCATGTCTTCCCGGAAAAGCCTTAAGAAGTGATTTTCCCTGACAAATTCCCCATCACTTGAGAAGCCAGCAGGTGAGGCTTTAAGGGAAACAGAGGGCCTTTCGGTAGCTGTCATATTATACTGGGCCCATAGTAAGGACGGCTTGGAGCTCTTTGTGGTCAGTCATTTGTACCCGAAGCTGGCCTGTCCAGAATGTGCCATGAGGTCCTTGGCCCGCTGTCGGCACGAATCCTTCAGAGACAGACTCTCCGCTCCAGGAGGGAAGGGTGTGGCTGAGACGGCTGAATAATTCAGTAAATGTCAAGCTCAGTGCCACTCCCTCCTCTCAGTAGAAGGAAGACTCTTGCTCCTTCCAATTGCAAAGGAAAAGAAAATGACTTTGGATGTGTTACAGATGGGCATTTATGGCTGCCATGAAACCCAGTGTTCAGAACAGCCTCTTCTCCGGAGAAAATATTATACAACGTGCCTGATCGTTCCTCTATGTGGAACGAAAGTCCAGTTATAAATTATACTGAGGTCCTAAATCACAGCATGACCCACAAGCGACCGTTTCGCCTCACATGCGGTGCAGCCAGCCTGATGGGTCCCCCATCACGGCGGACGCTGCATCACGGAAGAATGAAGGTTGCAGTGGGACTCACGTAAGCCAAGCCCATCCCCACCCAGCCCTCTGCGCACGTTAACCCTAAGCAATATGTAATTTAGGAAGGGGGAAATGTGATCATAGCCCTTGCACCCACACTGCTACGAAAGTCCAGGCTTTTATGTGCAGGAAGCTTCATGTTGATCTTGGCATCCCTCTTGGTTAAAACTCTTGTTTAAATGTGCAGCCTTAGAATAGTCTTTGAGGTTTTTCCTATGTTGTTTTATAAAAGGCTTCTGCCTGATTATTTACAGATGCTGTCTCTGAGAAAGCTGAAAATAGTCTCACTACGAACACTGAAATTTGGACTCAGGCTTCCCTTGCATTTTATGGTGAACAGCCCAACAGGGCTCGGGCCCAAGCATCGCCGGGCTCAACCAGCCTCTGCCAGGAACTGTCGGTGTTGAGGTTTCTGTTGAACTGATCGGAGCTATTCAAGGAGTCACTGCTCGAGGTACTCACTCAACAAGTATTTGTGAGTCCTACTATGTGTGGGGTGTGTGCCGGGGCTGGCGACACGGGGACAAACAAGACTTGGCCTTCAGGGGCTCAGTTTGAGGAGAGGTTGCCCAATACCCAAAGGCCACGTGGGAAGTGTGGCACCGCAGATTACCAGGGCGAGCTGGGGTGGGGACCTCAGAGGGCATGGGAAAGAGCAGAGGCAAGCAGCAGCCCAGCTCCAGTCCTCATAAGAAAGCCAGCAGGACATCCAGGAGTGGTTCCCTGTGCTAGGCGCTCCTACCTTTGAGCCTGAAGTAAGCCTCTGCCTCTAGGGAGGCGTGACCTGCAATCCAGGAAGAGGGACACCCGTTCTTGCTTGGTATAACCTCCCTTGAAGAGTCTCTAGGGCCACATATCAAGGCAGAAAGCTCCTCGTCTCCTCCACGTTCATGACCAAAAATCTCTGAGCTGAGGATGACGGTCCCTTCCTGTGCCAGCCTCGGTGGGGAGGACGCGGGTCTTGGTGGCCACATCCCTCCCCATGCGCTCACGCCCGCCCCTCCCCGGTGAAGCCATCCGACCCGCTCCCTCCGGCAGGCTTCCTCCCCTCCTCTCAAGGTGTCCACGGCACTCCTGGACTCACTCCAAACCCTCCTCGTCCCTCCTCAAAGACAAAACCCAGAGCTGGACTGGGAAGCGGGGGTGTGGGGCCAAAGACTTTCTGTCCCTGTTCCTACAATCCCTTAAGGCCTCCACAGCAGGTTAAATGAATCTTTTTACGTGACAACCAGGAGAGACCCTGGGATGACAGCACCGAGGGGAAGAGGCGGAGGAGGGTAAAATACAGTTCCTTCAGGTTTAATTAGGGATACCCGGCCCCCATGGTTACCAACATTACCATTCCTGGCTCCACTACCTCTCTGTGAACACTGAAAAGTGCTTTGGGGCTAACAGTAGAACCATAAATCACCAATGCTGATTAAAGACTTCACTCTGTGATTTACAACTTGCAGTAACAATGACCTTGTGAGCTTAAAACTCATCACTCTGTCTCTTGTTCTATTATAGTCTCCTGTACTTAAAGCGGCAGGAACCTAACCCTAAAATGAGAGCAGTAATACAATGACATCTCATCTTGGAATAGCATTTTTTTTTTCCAGAGTACTGTGCTATAAATTACCTCATCTAATCCTCACAACTGTGCGATGAATCTTGAATACAGAGATTTCCAGCCAAGAAAACCAAGGTATGAAGGGGTTAAGTGACTTGTCCTAAGCTGGGGAGAAAGCAGCAGAGGTAGGACCCAGAATGGTCTGCCTCACTGCCCTAAACTTTCACTGTGACCGCAAAATACACCACAGCTGCTACAGCACTTTTCATTCATGTCGAGTCCCCAGCTGAACAATGGCTCAACCCAGGATTTTCCAAGTTTATGATTGTGCAAAAGTGTGCCCTTAAAACCATTCGGTTTTTCACTTTTGTTCCAGTAATAAATTACACAAACTACTCAACTAATTATTATAAAATGAGCTTTTCGTTAGATGACTTTGTGCAACTGCAGGCCACCGTGAATGTTCCGAGCACATTTCACATGGGCGGGTTGAGCCGTGACAGTCGGTAGGTGTGTCGCACGTGCTTTCAGTTTGTGACAGGCTGAGCTGAGGAGCACCTGTACGTTACTGTATTGGTCCTTCCTGGGATGGACTGGGGAACTGGCAGTGACAACAAATGCTGTACAAAATAGCTGTGGATGAGTCTGACATGGACTAGAATGATTCACTGGTGTGGACAACAGAAAACGAGCTGTCGCCTGCCGTGCCCTTCAAGGTTACCTGATTCTAGGCCTCTGCGCACTTGGTGGGATTTGATTTTACAGCTCTGTATGTCACAGACAACCAAGAGTAAGCTCAATGGTTCCTGGCTGTGCACATACAGAGGAATCGTGCCCAGTGAATTGTAGCTGATCTCCCTGTGCCTCTGTGGAAGAGCTGGTTTAGTGGCCACTGACCCTACTGGCCATACACACGCCAACTCTCGGAAGCTCCTTCCAACTGGTCAGAACATCATCCGAGGTCTCTCCTTCATTAAACACATCCTTGAAACCCATTCACTTGGTATTTGTGAGAGCGTGGCGGATTTATCTTTTAAAATAATGTTCTTTAAAAACCAGCAAACATTTCTCAAGCATTTATTTTTTAAAAAGCTTTACAAAGGGTTTAATATGCATTTAGATTCCTTAATTTATATTTACTATTTAAAACTATAAAATATAGAAAATGAAAAAATGGAAATAAAGTCTCCGTAAACAGGGAAGGGAAGGGGGGTGAAGGGAGGGCAGGGACAAGGGGAAAAAAATGAGAACCAAGACCTGTTCTGTAAAGGTACAAGATCCCAATGATGAATGTAAATGTACTGTGTACCTAAAACGGACCAATGAACTCAATGAGAAAAAACACTATAAAATGTAAGCAATCATTGCATATTTATTTCCATTTTATATTTACATAATAATTACTTACACTTTATAGAGAGGGCAGCGGTTCAGAAAGTTTAAGCAACTTGCTCACCGTTCCACATCACTAAGGAAGACCCCTTCTCATCCCTGCTTTTGGAGGTCAGCACTATTTTTCCTTGGAGTCTGCAACATCTGGGACTGACTCCTGAGGCGGCAAAGTCCCTAGAGAAGGCGAAGGCGTGGGTCCCGCTGCGTAGGTGTAGACGGCCCTGTAGTTCGTGTGATTCACACCCTGTGCAGTATAGCAAGGCTGTTGTCGTTCACACTTCTCTTGTGCACCAGCCTCACGCTGATGGACATTTGGGGTGCACTCGGCGTTACTGGTCTCCTTCTTCGCCTGTGGGTTGCCCTAGTGACCTGCATAATCTGTAACCATTGCTCAAGTGTAACCGGATTAATTCAAGCCTGGATGGGGAGATCCCAGCCCACTCCGTGACACTCAACATTCAGTGACATGTGGTCCCCGGATCTTCCTTTCCTCTCTGTTGCATTTTGGGGGGGCCTTCTCTTTTGCTCTTAAAGTTGCCCTTGGTGTTTTTGTTGATGTTTTTTATTTGTTTGCTTTGCTTTGTTGTTTGTGATGCTAGAAATGGAATCCAGGGCTTCACCTATGCTAGGCAAGTATTCTAGGGCTGAAGAACACCCCAGCCTCACTTCTGGTGTTCAACTATATATAATTTTGGTACCAGGAATCAAACTCAGGAGCTTGCACTTGAGAGGTGGAGGCATCACTGAGTTAAATACCCAACCCTCAACTATATATTTTTTAAAAATATGCAATTCTATACACACTAGTCTTTGAGGTGATACTTAAAGGACTTTTTCCACCCAAAACTGTATATTTTCCATGGACCCTGGCCTGATCTGGACACTGGAAATAAAGCCATGATTGAAACAGAAAATCCCCTCTCTGAGGAGTTTATTAACATATCACAGGGGAGATAAAGGAAGGAAACTAAAAGAAACATGGAAGATATTACTCTGAAACTATAATGATTAGAAATTTTGTCTTTAATTTCAAAAATAAAATCAACAACCTAGACAAAAATGTATATCTTAGCAGAACATCACAAATGAAATGACAGCCTAGAAGGTTGGTTTTCACATGTTTCAAATGGCAGCTCCATTTTCAGGGAACAGAAAAATCAGGTGTGTCTGTTCCAAACAGTGCTACACACAGGATTATCTCAAACTATTCCAGGGGTAACTCAATCATAGGGGCCTGAACCCATCTCATGCATCGCTCAGTGACCTGCTATTATGACCAATAAAGTAAATGATTAAAAATTATACCTGGCGCAAGGTCCCAAGTTCGACCCCAAAATAAAACTACAAAAGAAATTATACCTGATTGTCAAATATGGGCACATGTCTGTGGGAGCTCATTATAATCACTTTAAATAAGGTGGTATTTGCTTTCAATAACATATCTGCCAGATGAGATACTGGATTTAGGTGACTAAAACCTCTCTTTTAATTTGAGACTTAAATTAAGATTTTTAAGTTAATGTCATTTGGAAGAATAATAATTAAGACGCCAAACTATATGTAAGTACAACAGGTACAACATCTTTCTATTAAGATTTCATTAACTTAAATGTTTTTCTCTCTTTAGATTAAATTACATCAGGCCAAAATAAACTGACCCTAGAGCAAAATTTTAAGGAATAAACTGTAGCATTAACTAGGAATCACAAATCCTGGAAAGAAGTTTTTCAAAAAGATATTTTTTAACCAGATGGAAGGCTTTACTTTAAAAATGTAAAAAGTTATAAAAGTCACCCTTTTTGGCAGTCATAATTTTTTAACAGGCCAAAGTGCACACTCCTAACACACAAGGAATACTTTTTAATTCTTTAAAATGCAGTAGGGAGTGATTTTTCCCTAAACAGTAAGGGATAAAACTCCCCAGAGATTGGAAAGTCACAAAACCCGAGACCCGAGACCAACAGTTTGCTCGCACAGGGACAGCCAGTTAAATCATCCGGGCGTCTGCATGCGTGTGTTTAACGAATGTGTCCCTGATGGTCATGATGCACTTTTCAAAGTATTTAAACTATGGTCAGGATAATCTGCACAACAATAGAAAATTTCTTCACTTGGCTGACTCCACAGTAAACAAGTGGGGGGGGGCAGAGGGGAAAGCGGGGGCAGAAGGAGGGGAGGAGGGTGCGGGTCACAACAATAGAAAATTTCTTCACTTGGCTGACTCCACAGTAAACAAGTGGGGGGGGGCAGAGGGGAAAGCGGGGACAGAAGGAGGGGTGGGGAGGGTGCGGGGAGAGATGGGGAGGCGGAGGAAAATACAGGAGGCCAGCATGGATCCAAGGGTCTAATCTCGGCCTGTGTGACTGAACCACCGATTAGGGAGAAACCGAGAAACCGTACCAACTAGGAGGGATTCCCCAACCGCCTATCTCAACCGCCTATCTCAGCTAACGCCGTCATACTCTCTAGTTCTTACGGCCTTAACTGCAGTAACTCCGACCCCTGCATGGCACTGCAGGCTTACTGTTTATTCACTTATTTTCATCTCTCCAAAGAAAGAACGTGAGCTGCCGCGGACAGGGACGCTTCTGCGCACTTCTGCAGCCCCGGCTCCAGAACAGGGCCTGCCACGTGGGACTTGCTCAATAAATATTTGCTGAAAGCATGAATAAACCCTTTGCAGAACCGCAGACTCCATACCTAGATCACTTTTCACATTAACTCATTAGCCCTATTTTGGAAAGTGATATTTACCCAGAGTTCTTTTCAAATTTATAAATAGTACATTTTGAAAAATAATCTTCCTTTTCACTTATATGATAAATTTGAAACTTCTAGGGAATTTAAAACGCTATGGTTTCATTTGTATAGATAAAACTGCTAAGAATGCATAAACATGGACTAAGCTAAACTTATAAAACCAGCATTGGTGCATACATGTAGTGATTTTTTTAACTGAAAAGTCAATTTAAAAAATTTTTTTGTACCGGGAATTGAACTCGGGACCTTGTGCTTGCAAGGCAGGCAGTGGTAACACTGAGCTAAATCCCTGGCTCTTTTTAAATTATTTTGAGATTACCTTTATATCACTATTTTAAAAAATCATCCCATAGATACAATCCCAAGTAAAAGATTGGGTATACTAATAAAAAGGGAAATCATTTACTAAAAGATGCTGTTGTGTGAAAGGACACTTTTAGGACCCAAGTGAATACAGCGATCAAGCAATGAGGGTCGGGGAGTAGGCTCAGGGGTGCCACCACCAGCCTCGCAAGTGCAAGGACCCAAATTTGATCCCCAGTACAAAACAAAACAAAAAAACTTTGTACTGCCTTATCACGTGGCTTTGCTGTATAAAACATCTTTGAGAAGTGGGACGGGTGGCAACCCACTTTCTGATCCCTCTTCTGTCTCTCAGACAGAAGCTTTCTCTCCCTCAATAGTTT